GCCACAACGTTTTTTACACCTATAGTGTTTATTATTATATTCTGCTATAACAATTGGTATACAATAGGCTGGCTATGTGTGTGTTGCCCACCACTTGAATTTAACCCTGGATTGTAGCATTGTAAGACCATAAACTTACTGTAACGACAGCGGAATTCACGTGACGCTGGGAGCATGCACGCTGGAGTTTTTGGAATGATCATGAATTTGCCCAGCAGCTCGAGCGTGATCTAGATACCCCCCTTTTTTTTTAATCATATAAGCCTGGCAAAGAAAGCCACCTGGGAGAGATAATTGATTCAAACAAACAGTAGCCACGTGAGCCGTAAATTGTGTGTGTGTTGCAGTTGCATAGAGCGAAGTTATCGAGGTTGTGAATCGCTGTGATTTATAGCGTGTATTATAAAAGTCATTTAGTTTAAAGTGACGATGAGAAACATACTGATTGTGAAATTGTTGTGTGATAAAAGTTTGTATCGAGGAAGAATAAACTGGGTTAATCAAGAAAGGATTTGTATCGCTGAAGTTTCTCGGAAAGAATTTCTACGGGAAATTAACAAACAAGCAGATACATAACATTACCTTAACTCAGTGGCGACTATTATAATAAAGTTGATAATTTGTTTATATGTGTAATAAAGACAAAAATACATTATAAAAAGTTGAGAAACTTCAAGTTTGAAAATCCAAGCTCTAATAAATCTTTCCTAAAACGTTTGAAGAATATTAGTGAGGAGTTGAAAACATAATTAGTGTACACCTTTTAAAAGTTACTCAAAACTGTGAAAAATCCTGGTGACGACTTAGAGAGAAAGACAAACCAATGGTATGCAAGTACATTACCATCTTACAGATAATTTCCTATTTTTTATGTGAATGCAGCTAAGCACCTTGAAGTTGTATAAAAATACACCTGGTACCTATATTCATTTAGAAAGATGGCGCTAATGCATACACATATCTGCAAAACGTAGATTTCGGAAATATAATACTGTTATGTCTCTGGTCGTTTGTTAATTTCCGGTACAAATTCTTCCCGAAGATCTTCAGCGATACAAGTCCTTTCTTAAATAAAACTAGTTTATTCTTTTTATTACAACTTTACAATACACTTAATTTCCACAGTCATTTTAACTTAAACACACGCTATAATTCACAACGATTCACTCACTTTACTTATGGTTACTACCGCTCACTAGACTCGATTATCTGTCTCTATATCTCCCTATCTGCAATTCATATCTCTGCTTTATTTACCGGGCTTAGGCCTATATACAAAAATATAGAGCGTCTGGCAAACACTAGAGTTGCTAGGAGCAGTCATGATCCTTCTAGAAACTCGTGACGTGTTACCAGTGTCACGTGACTTCCGCTGTCGTAACAATACAAAGAATAATTTCAAACACGGCAAGTTGTTTTAATGTGCATGTGAATGGCACCTCATGCACACAATGGGCTATATGGCCTAAACAGCAGTGACCTATATGGTTCAAGCATAGCTGTCCCCAATTTTAAACTGTAGACCAGAAGGAAGGTAATTAGTCAGCAGTACCAACCGTTTGGGACTTACCTTAAAAGAATAGTGGAAATGATTATCAGTCTGATAATGCATCCACACTGAAAGTGTGAAACCTGTTTGGTAATAGAAGTTTTCGAATTAGAGAACCCTGATCTTCAGTATGATACACTAACCATGCTATAGGTCCTCGAACCTGGTAAGTAACGGGAATTGAAACAAATTATAGTGTGCAAATTAATTATAACAATGTTCATACAAATAAGTGTAAGTTTAAACTTGCGGGCCAATTTATATATTCGTTATTGAATATTACAACATGGTACTGGTGCAAGAGAACAGGTTGGAAGCAAAACGTCCATACAAATGACAAAGAGAAGATCCAGACTAAGATTGCCAGCACAAGACAAATACGAGATCTGGAATAAAGAAGCTATCCTACTTTAAAGTCTGAGCAAGTTCCTAATAATGTATCTCGCAACCCTTAGCTACAATCATTCCTATTAAACATATTCAAGTCAGCTAAGTCCAGACTCACAAGTCTTTTTAACACCACACAAAACGAGTACAGCCTCATTCCAGAAAGGCAGGATTGAAACATGACCAAGAAGTATAAGCTTATGTAATAGCTTGTATTATGTACCCTTTGTTTAAAATAGAGGATTAGTGCATATACATGAACTTCCCATATGTGATTCACTAAAAGTAGAACTCCTGGACTAAAATTTTGTTAAAACTTGAGTGTACCCAAATAATGGTATATTCTTTAATAGTTATGAAAGAATGAGCTTTGGTGATATTTCAAAAATCACAGACTCAAAGGTTTGAAAATGTGCGAGTTAAATTTCTGTTGTAATCTATGTGTTTGAATCTATTTTCGGAAGAGATTTGCAAAAGAATGTGAAAAAAATGTGATTAATATTTAATTCTTAACTACAATATTAATTATAGCTTATCAGTTTTCACTGAGAAGTGACTAAATTAGTATAATCTTCAAATCAAACCAATGAATTATGATAAGTATGCTAATGAATTTTTTAAATTTTTGTTAGGCAGAGGAAATTGTACAAGTCATGAAATTCCAGAACTATTAAAATCATCAGCTCTCTCAAACTTGATTTACAACTTAAATGGAACAGGATTTAAAAGATCTACACTAACTGTGGCTCTGAGACCAAAGCTATATCAAATTATTTATTATGACTCAACCTTTTGAGAAATTATTGAGTTTACTACCGAAAATAATGGTATTGTTACGTCTCCGTTTGTTAATTGATTTTACGTAAATTCGTTCCGACGAAACTTTAGCGACACAAGTCCTTTCTTAAATAAAACTGGTTTATTCTTTCCGAATACAACTTTACGATACACTCAACTTCAACAGTCGCGCTATAACAAACTATAGTTCACGTCTCAGGAGCTCTACTTCAACAATAAGTCTCTCTCTGACTGCAGTTCAATTACTCATTACCTACATACACACCAGACCATCCCCCAATCTAGTAAATGCTAGAGCACTCCCGAAGGAACAGGATAGTTCTAGAAACAGGGCGTGACACTAGTCACGTGATCTCGCTGACGCAACAGTATTGTTACGACAGCAGATGTCACGTGACCCTAGTAACACGTCATTGACTTCTAGAAATATCCTGTTCCTTCA